ATGGATGGATGGATGGATGGATGGCTGGACATGGGCACCAGTGACCCACGTGACCCAAAAAGGAAGAAGCAGGTAAAAGATGATGGATGGATAAAAATGATGAAACGCTTCAAGTGTAACGGATAAATAAATAACGCGCCATAAAATTTGCAATTAGTTGCCAAACAGCACCACCTGGTGGAGACTTTTGTAAACTCTCATCACCTGCAGTTCTTTGAGCTTTTTAAATTATCCAGCAGCTCCTGGGAATGACTGAAACTAATCCAAAAAAGTTCAATCTGGTCCTCTGGACATTCAAAAAAAAACAAAAAACAAAACAAAGCAAAAAATATAGAAACGTTTCGTCTCTCATCCGAGAGACTTCCTCAGTCTGAGGAGCTGTTTTCAGCTCAGTCTCTTAAATAGCACCTTCTCAGAGTGGATCAACCAGTTTGATGGAGACCATCTGTTCACATGCTCAAGAAGGACCATCAGCCTAACAATGGATCATTAGCACACTGATGGCTGTTTACTGTTCACAGAGGGCTGAGTGATACTAGCAATAACAGCATTGTAAGAGGGGGACAGTTGAACCCGGAGGCTCCACCCCTGTTTAACGATGGTTTCTTTTCACAAAGATGGCCTCCTTTATTCCTCTCTCAAACCATCGTTCCTCTCTGTCCAGGATGTGAACATCTTCATCCCTGAAAGAGTGACCGCTGGCCTGGAGATGAGTGTAGACCGCAGAGTCCTGGCCTGATGATGTTGATCTTCTGTGCTGGTCCATCCTTTTGGCCAGTGGCTGTTTAGTTTCCCCGATGTAAGACTGATCACCCTCCTGACACTGAACAGCATACACAACATTACTCTGTTTGTGCCGGGGGACTGGATCTTTGGGATGAACCAGTCTTTGCCGTAATGTATTTTGGGGTTTAAAAGCCACTGGGACGTTATGTTTAGAAAATAAACGTCTCAGTTTCTCTGATACCCCCTCAACATATGGAATGACCACTGGTCTGGGTCTGGGTTCCTCCTTTTCACCTGATGGCTGACTGGAGTCCTGTTTGGGTTTCTTCTCTGCTTTCAGGAAGGCCCAGTTAGGATATCCACATTGCTCTAGAGCCTGTCTTGTGTGGGATTTCTCCTTCTGCCTGGCTCCCGAGCTAGTGGGGACGCTGTCTGCTCTGTGGTACAGAGTCCTGATGACTCCTAACTTGTGCTCCAAAGGGTGATGGGAGTCAAACTGCAAATACTGGTCTGTGTGGGTGGGTTTACAGTACACCTCAGTTTGCAAATGTCCTCTATCAGAGACTGAGACCTCACAGTCCAAGAAAGCCAACTTGCCATTTTTTTCATCTTCTACATCTTTTTTGGATTTTTCTACCTGGATTATTGAGCATGCATCAGGACTGAAACTAATGTTAAGCTTTACTAACATGGTCTTTTTTTTTTTTTACTCTGGAAGGTTGCAAAAACTCTCCTGTAAAAAAAAATGTTTGTTCTTTTTTTTTTTTTACTGCTATTAGGAGAATGTGAAGTTGTTTTCTGGGGCCCGCCCTCTCCCTCGTTGACTCTTCTGAGGCAGCCAAAGTGGTTCAAAAACATCAAAGTTCATGCTCAACAATCCAGGTTAAAAAAAACAACAAACTTCAGTGAGATCATCTGGAGGGTTTCTTTTTGTTGTTGAGACGTTTCATCAATCAGTCTGAGGATAAGTTTGTTGTGGCTCCTCAGACTGATGAAGTCCTTTGGGTCAAGGACGAAACGTCTCAACACCAAAAAAGGAACTGTCCAGATGACCTGACTGAACTTTGTTGGCGATTGAGAAGTTGCTTCAGACTCGAGGGAAGAAGGTTTGCATGACCACAAGCAGGAAAAGACGCGTCACACATGATCAACGGCTGCACTGCATAAGTTCACTTTATCTTGAGCTTATCAATATTCTTTAGCATGCAATAGAAGGAGCCGTTTCAAGAATGTTTCCATTTGAGCAAGTTTATCTAAAAATGTAAGAGAGAGCAACTTTTCAATTGACTTTTCAGGTTGAAAGATCCGTCATTAGCTTTATCTGCTTCTTCCATCCTGTGTTGCTGGCGTCCACATCCAGCTGTCACTGCAAATGGTAAATGGACTGTACTTACACAGCGCCTTTCTATCTTATCAAGATAAAGCGCTTTACAACACAATCTGTGCCCTCATTACCCATTCATACATACTATCTGTACATCTGTACAAAGACCAATCAGAGCTTTATCACATTCATGCAGCGATGGGACACACATCGGAGGCAGTGAGGGGTTCAGTGTGTTGCCCAGGGACACTTCAACATGTGACTAATGGTGGAATCGAACCCCCAACTCTCCCACTGGAGGACAACCACTCTAACCACTCAGCCACATCTGCCCATGAAGTCTGTCCGAGGAGCTGCAACAAACTAGCACCTTCTCATAGTGGGTCAACCAGTTTGATGGTGCTCAGATGGTTTCTGGAGAAGGTGGACTCCAGAAACCATGAGCACCATCAAACTGGTTGACCAGTTTGTAATAATCAAGTTATCTTGATTAATAAACTCTTACTGAACAAACTTTAGCTTTAGTTGATTTCAATTTATTAGTTGACTGAACTGTTTTGGTATGTTGTTTCAACTCAGAAATCTGTCGATTTAACTCGTTAAATAAAATATAAAAACTAAAATAAATATAGTGTTTCTAATTCACAGCTTTTCACTTATTGCGGGGGTGTCCGGAACATAACCCCCGCCGTAATCGTAAGACTACTGTACAAGGATTGCTGAGCTGCTCGGTGGGGTTTCTCCTGTCGGCCATCTTGGATTTGAGGGGGGAAAAAAAGCACTTGCAGTGATAGAAGTGTATTTTATGATGCACTAGCGTCCACTTCAGTGGTCTATGCACAGTTGTCACATTAAAAACCTATACGTATACACAAGAAAATGGGTTTTAAATAGCGGTCTACTGCTGTGACCTATAATCTCCTGAGGGTAAACCATAGCCTTGAGAGGTTGGATCATTTCCTAGCCAGGGTCAGCAATAGCCTTCCAAGGTTGAACCATAACCTCGTGACCTGGACATCGCGTCCCAAGGATAACCAGTGTCCTGATGGTAACTGGTGTGTTTAGGGTCAACCACAGCATCTTGAGGATGAACCATAGCATTGCAGGGGTGGACGTCGTCGTGAGAGTTTAACTATAGTGCCCTAGGGGCTACCATATTAATAGTAATTCAATAGTTTTCAGGCAGTCTTGACAGTTTAGTGGTTATCAAGCTGGAAATCCATACAGGTCTGCGTAGTTTGCACGTTCTCGTATTTGTGTTTACTCCGTTCCCTTCCCAAAACGTGTTTGGATTGCTCATGGACCTTCTAACACAGATTTGTGATCTCAATGGGCTTTACCTGGTTAAATAAACTACCATACTTGTATTTCCAAAACGTATACTTAAGAATTTATTTTACCTTCTGACCTAATAAAACACTGAAAGTCTGATTTTAAGCTTCATTTTATTTACACACAAACTTGTACAAATGTTTGTTTTGATAAAAAAAAAAAAAAATCTCCAATACAACAAAAAAGTAACATCGATCAGTTTTTTAATTTCTATCTCTAATCAGAACGAACGATGAAGTCTATTCCAAACTAAAACTAAATGTTTTCATTGAAAAATTATTTCTGCTTTTATTCCTGCAGAAATCTGAAGCATCAACATATTTACACTTTACCTAAAAATAAAAAGGACAAAGTTTAAGGGAATCCTCATTAAAAAATAAAAAATAAAAAAAACTAACAGAATTACAATTTTTAAAGAATTTTTTTTTATCACAGAACAATTCTGCCTCAGCTGAATGTTGATATAAAAACAAATTGTTTATATTTTATGAGGAAAAATAAAAACCCTACAGAAAACATTTACAGAAAACAGTAGAAATGTGTTTAATTACATTAAGTTTATTAAAATGACATTTCTATCCACTGAAATTTTCTTTGTAAGTAACTCTGAAGCAAATTCACCAGTTTTCTTTCCCAGCTTGTTCCTGTTCAAAGTGACAGGAAGCGGTCACTGGGCGAGAGGCGGAGCTACACTTGCACGGGTATCTGAAGTTTGACGCACCAACTTAAAAGTTATTACAAAAAAATCTGAACGGTTTGTTGTCAAGGAGCAAACTGGAAGTTCAGGACCTAAAGACGCAAATGATGCCTGAGAGATCCTCCAAGAGACGTTTAAATGGTCCTTCATAAACAGGTCCACCATACACGAGTCTATTTACGATAACATTTAAACTTTAATACAGCTCAGTGTGGTTTGCTACATGACGTGAAGGACAAATGAAAATGTGAGTAGACGACGTTCAACTCAAAACACTCGACGTTTGATTCATTTAGTGACGAGGTCCAATCAGCCGGAGATGAGGGATGCCTGCAAAAAGGTAAACATAAAGGAAGATTACATTATTTAAATCTATTCATAACAAGTGTTTTTATGTTGAAAATAAATGCGTTATACGCCCTAACATTTTGCACAAAGTACTGCTGACACCAGCGCTTGAAGGAGGCTGGTACACACCAGTACACAGTTTCCAAACTGCTAAATATTTGTATTTAGGCTGAAAACAGTGGGGAAGCTGTGGCACATTATTTATTGCACTAGATGTATGGAACACATCAGGCTGTAGTACGCCATAACAAATTAAAAGATTAGATACATTTTTATTTTAGGCAGAAAAGACAATTTTAAGAGCACTGGGTTTCCAGAAAATACCTTTTAAGACATTTATCTCTGAATAATTAAAGACTAATTTAATCTTTCGTTGTATGTTCAAAAACTTTTAAATTGAAATTATGCCACAGCTAAACAAGAGCAAAAAATCTAAAGGAGCTGCTAAGCGAACCCGAATGTCCAATGGAGGACTAGTGCACAGAAAGTTTTGGTCCAGACGAGCTGTAAAATATTTATCACCCATCGGCATCCAGCCGTGGCAAAGAGAACAAACAAAGACCTAAAAACAAAAAAGTTGGGACTTTTATTCTGAAAGTCAAAGACATTCTGCTTCCCACCAGGGGAGATTTCGCAATTTTTTTAAAAATGGCGCGTGTACAGATTTAAACTGCTGCTTTCACCAGCTGTGAGCTACAGACAAATTGTATAAATTACATTCCACACAGGACATCAGTGGAAAACAGGAAGTTATGGACAGAAAACAGGAAGTTATGGACAGAAAACAGGAAGTTATGGACAGAAAACAGGAAGTCGTGACTCACACTTTGCTTCTGACTGGGTCAAATTTAGGGGATTGGGTGACGTGCGTATAACCAAGACACTGCTGGGCATGTGGCGGGACTATTATTAAACCAATAAAATCATTTTAAATGGCAAGAACTAACACCAGAAACTGCTAAAAAGTAAAAAAAATATTTCACCTTTGTGAAAAATAAATGATTTATTGATTGATTGGTCAATTGATTAATGGATTGGGGGAGATTTCACGCACTGGTTGACACGGAAAGAAAACTTTAAAACAAAAAAACCTATCTGATCACCTGGGGCAGAAAGAAGTGGAGGGCGAGAATTCTTTAAGGAAGGAGGAGGCAGCCTGTCCCTGTGGAGGCCTCGGTGGAGGAGAGGACCGTGGTGGAGGAGAGGCCCTCGAAACAAACTGGGACGAGGACCACGAGAGATCGGGGTCGGTAATGGAAGAACAGGAAGCTGCTGCAGGGACAGCAGCGGAGGCGGCTTGGATTTGAGAAAAGTACCTGTAGAAAAAGATGAAATGTGCATGAATACCAGAACCAATCAGCCAGAACATTAAAACCACCGAGACTTAAACCCAACTTGGATAAGAGAGTCCCATGAAGTGACCCACAGAAGAACCACTTCATGTCCCTGAATGATCCCAGTCCACCAAGGTCTACAAGTCGACCCGAGCAGGTGGTTTTAATGTTGTGGCTGATTTTGGTACAACAATCCAAAAACTTGTAATGAGCTAAAATGAATGAAAGAATTCTGTATTAAATTAAAGCTTTTAAAGTATCTTTACAAACATATATTCAAACCTATGTTTTTTTTTTAATTTTTAAAAGCTAATTTTCTTAATTTTGGATTGAAATTAAGGATGCACGATATTATCTGCACGGTATCGGTCGATATTGGCAATAAAGTTCAATATCGGCCATTCCATCAAAAGAACTCACAGATATAAAAGACGCTCTTTTTGTAAGTTTAAACATATCGGTCAAAAATCCAATATCGTGCATCCCTAGTTGAAACCATTTCAAAACAATCCCTCGAATGACTGAAATGCTGAAAACTTTAACTTTGCATGCATATTTCACAGACATAATTAGAAATGGTTAAATCTTTGACACAGAAGCAGGATGGACTTCTTTAAAGTACTCTGTGTGACAGAAAGGTTTTTAAAGCAGGAGTGACTGACGCTGTTTGCAGTCCCAACCTGGTGTAGGCAGGAGTGGTGCAGGTGAGGAGAGGTCAATCAACGACCCCCCGGCTAAAGATGCAGACTGAGGCTGTGGAGGTCCAGGCGGAGTAGGGAGCAGAGGTGGTGGTTTTCCCAGTCCTGGGGGAACCATGTCCCCCTTGCTCTCCACAGTGTCTAAAGCTACAGCTTCAAACAAACAAACACAAAAACACAAAAACAAAACGGGCATGAAAGAAATGTGTAAGAAATTAAAGCTGGGGCCAGTCATTCCAAGTGTTTCACCTCGTAGGTGGTCCTGCCGGGAACGGAGATACTCTGAGACGGTTTCCAACTCCTCGGGGTACAGATGCACCCCCTCGGCTAACAGCACGAGGAGGTGTCGTGTTTCCGAGGGAACAGAGTGCTTCGCAATTTTTTCACGCTCTAGGAAGTCATCCAGCAGCTGGGACGCCTCTGCTGCGATGTCTGCAGGGTCTTTGGAAGGAGACTCTTTGAGGAGCCCACGAGTGTACTCAGCGTGGACAAAGTCCAGGGCCTGGTCTTTAGGCATGTTGCGATGGACTGGCGGTGGGAGGCAAAGGGGGGGCATTAGTGGTGAAATGGGAGGAGGCTGAACAGAAAGTGTACGAGGTGCAAAACGAAATGGAAAAAAAAACAAACTGGAAATGTTCTAAAACCGTAGCTGTTTTTCCTGTGATCCGACAGGATATACAAAACTTAAATCAGAGTTTATCTTCGTTACAAACAGGACAGACATGGAGCTTTATGCAGAATATTATATGTAAATAATGTTCTTTATGTTGAAGAGAATCCATAAAATGCATAAAGATATGCATCCAAAACATGTTTTATAAAAATAACCAGTGTGTGATGAATGAACGTTTCATGAGTTTTGGTTAAAAACAATATTTTGTGGTTTTGAAATTCTTAAATGTAAAATGCATTTTTTTTTCTCCCTGTTTTGTTTACATTTTGTATTTTTTAGTGTATTGTGCAGATTTATGTACTTGTGGAGCTTTACATGAAGCTAATGTGATTGTTTCAATAATTAGATTAGATGTAATTTACAAAAACAGCTAAGAGAAATTCTCTTAATTGTCATCCGAGTCACATTTCAGTAACTTGGGTCATTTGTTCTGTTGGGAGAACCAAACTTCTTCCATCAGGCAAGAGTGTCCAGAGTTTTAGATATTGTTTAATCATGAACTTGAACGTGGGCCAAATCCTGATTTATTTATTTCACCATCCTCTTAGCCCTACACCTTTACTTTTATCAGGGTTAGCCTTAGCCTCATGTCTGTAGCCTGTTAAAGAGAGAATCTTAATATCTTCTTCATGTCAGGGAAAGGTGACGTGGTAGAATATCGCACTTATCCGTCTAAATGAAGATGAAAAATTGTTCTTTAAAAGGAAGGTGCAGGAGCTGTGCTAGCAAAGAACATCACAAATGTAATTTTTTAAGTACAAAGTACCTAATTACAAGACAAATGATGGTCGTCATTGAAACGTGCATTAAATGCTCTAAATATTATAAACCACCAAGTTTCATTTGAGCAGAACGACATCTGCAGCTACGTATTTTGAAAATTATAAAATGAAACTGGGTTTAGGTTTCCGAGTGAAAACTTTGCTTCTTGTGCAGAAGTCTTGTGCCATTCCTGCTGCAGAGCCTTATTTACGCAGCGGCTGCTGTTTCCAGAGAACTGCTGTGAGTGCAGCACATCTGAAGCACCTGGATAAGAGACCTCCGCTCTCTTCTTCTGTTGGCTGGTCCATCTTCAGGGGACACCACAGCCAGTCCACCTCCGTCTCACTCTGTCTTCTGTCCTCACTCCAACTGCTCCATGTCCTCTCCAACTACACATCTCCTTTTTGTCTTTTTCCTGGCAGCTGAATTTCTAACATCCTTCTACAAGTATAATCACTGTCCCTCCTCTGGACATGTCCAAACCACTGTCCCTCCTCTGGACATGTCCAAACCATCTCAGTCTGGTCTCTCTAACTTTATCTCCCAGTTGTCCAACCTGTGCCGTACCTCTGATGATCTCATTCCTAATCTGATCCATCCTTGTCACTCCTAAGAAGAACCTCAACATTTTCATTTCTGCTGCTTCCAGTTCTGTCTCCTGTCTTTTTGTCCGTGTCTCTGTCTCCAGACCATACAACATGGCTGGTCTCACCATTGTCTTGTAAACTTTTCTTTTGACCTTTGCTGTCAGCCTTTTGTCGCAAATCACTCCTGAAACTTTTCTCCATCCAGCCTGGACGCTCTTCTTCATTTCTTTACCACACCCCCCATTTTCCTGGACAGTGGACCCCAAGTCCTTGAAGTCCTGCACCTCGGTGACCTCTGCTCCTTGTTGCCTCACTGTTCCACCGGCCTCCCCGTCACTCATTCACACATGTTCTCTGTCTTACTACGACTGACTTTCATTCCTCTTCTTTCAAGTGCATACCTCCACCTCTCCAAGTTCTCTTCCACCTGTTCCCTGTTCTCACCACAGATCACATCATCTGCAAACATCATAGTCCACGAGAATTCCAGCCTGACCTCATCTGTTGGTCGGTCCATCACCAGAGCAAACAAGAAGGGGCTCAGAGCTGATACTTGATGAACTCCCACCTCCACCTTGATGCCATCCGTCACTCCCACAGCACATCTCACCACTGTCCTGCTGTCCTCATACATGTCCTGCTGTCCTCATACATGTCCTGCTGTCCTCATACATGTCCTGCTGTCCTCATACATGTCCTGCTGTCCTCATACATGTCCTGTACCAGTCTAACGTACTTCTTTGCCAGTCCAGATTTCCTGGTGTTAATCAAACTGGATCTTACAACAGAGTGGGTGCCAATAAAAGAGTTAGCACCGAAAAATGTTTTACATTTGATGTTCTTTGTTAGCAAAGCTTCTAATGATCAATAACTGTGACCCTGAAAATAAAGCTTAATGGCTCATTTTAGTTTTTCCCCATTAATTATGTGGTATGGTCCAGAGGTCAAATTAAATTTACGGTCATTATATAAAATATAATACTTTTCCTTTCAATTTATTTAAAACCTACTAATTCTGTCACTAGTTCATCAGATGCCAATGATGACAGACATTTACCAGAGAAGGGGGAAACTGGGGAAAGTTGGCCGTCTTAGATTAGGTTTGATGAAAAGACCGTTACAGAACAAAATTACCCATAATCAAAAATATGTAGCACATGTTCATTGTGAATGTAATAACTGGAATAACTTATTTATTTTACTTTATGTTAGGTAAGTGTAAGATGTGCAATGAGTGCCCAAGAAGAAGCCAGTGGATATTTTACCAGAAGTCTGATAATGTACACTTTAAACAACAACATTTAATGCATTTAGGGAGATTTTTTATTATTTTTGTTATTTAGTTTAATTTTTTTTAAATAACCTTTTGTAGAGAAATCCAGCTTTATGTCAGTATTTCATTTGGCATGTTTGTGTTTAGTTTTACTGAAAGTATGCGAGATAGTGTGTTTGGGGAAACTAAAGAAAACTCCAACTGCATCACACCTTTGAATGAAGTTCAGGGTCGTTTGGGCAAGCTAGAAAATATGAGGGGTTCAAACTTACTTTTTAGGGATTCTGAGAAAATGATAACAGTGCAGGAGGACAGAGCTATGTTTTTCTGCTCCACCAGTATACATAATGGGGAGCCATCTGCTCGAACATCCTGCAGGGCCCGGGTCAGGCCCGATTCCACTTGAAGGTAGAGCATTTCCACTGACAGGCCTCGCTCCTGCAAGCACTGTCTTAGCGATTTGGGGTAATCCCTTTGAGAGGAAGAGAAACATTTTGTTAAACTGCTGCGCCATAAAGAGGAACCAGTTCTGCGGGGAGCAGAGTTCTTGTAATGAAAATGGTTTAATTGAGTTTAAAGTAGTGATAAAGACCTTTTCAGATGTGAAACATGAAACCTTACTGGCTTGGACAATTTGTTAAGAGCGATTCAGACGTTGATCCCTTTTATTCATTTATTTTTCTTCACACTGTAAATTAATAATTTCTATAGCTGAGATTTACTTGCACAGTTTTAGTGAGAACAATACTACTAGTCCTCTACAGCAGGGGTCCCCAAACTTTTTTGAACATTTTATGCAAAATAATTTTCCACAGACCAGCGACGGTGAAGTGTGAGGGGAGCTCACACACGTAAAACAATTAAGATAGAACTTTATATGACGTAACATTTCCTGCGGGATCAATACAAATTACATCTATAATTTATTTTTATTGTAATTTTATGATCATTTAATATAACAGTATACAACTCCTTAGCAACGTGATTAGCCACGATGCTTTCAGTGCACACATCTAATGATGTGGTGGCTTCAATAATAGTTTCTACTTTGCGTTCATGTGTTTTTATTCTTTCAACAAACGCCAGTCTCGTCTTTCGATGCAGGCTGCTCAGTCTCCGTGCGGTGAAGCCGTTCTGAAGGTTTCAGGGTCACCACATGTCCTACAGAGTGCGCTCAGAGCGAGTGAGTCACCTGATTGTGGATGATGCAGCTTTCCTTGTGGCGGAAGTCGTTTCGCCTTCTGCTGTCTCATCATTAGACCTTTTCCCTTTTTCAAAAGGAACTCTCCCGCGACATTTCTTTTTTACTCATTTTTGCTAAATTTAGTTTGAGAGCTCATTGAAGCATGAGTCCAACGCTAAAATGGCACGGACAGAAGTGACCGATAATCAAAATACAATACCACGCAGACTAAAGCAAACAGAAAAAAAATTTCAGAATAAAGCGGAGCCGAGTCGCACTTGTCAAGTGGCTTTTGTGTCCCTGTGCTGAACTTGTGACCTGTCCAGGGTCTACATCACATCTTGCACAGTGACTGCTGGATGTGGGCACCAGTGTCTCCCGCAACCCAGAAAGGAAGAAGAGGATAAAGATAATGGATGGATATTCTGATGCACGCTCAATAATCCAGGTAGAAAATCTAAAAAAAGGTTAAGTCAGGTCCTCTGGATGGATTCAAAAGATACAACTTGTTGAAACATTTTGTCTTTTGTCCAAAAGACTGTCGGTCTGAGGAGCTGCAACTAGCTCAGTCTTATAAAATGAACCTTCTTATAGTGGATCAACCAGTTTGTTGCTGACAGCCAAAACAAGATGTTAACACGATAAAGGAGGACCATCAGTCTAACGACCAATCGCTAGCACTCTAATGGCTTCCTGCTACTCAGAAAGGGCGGAGTGATACTAATAACAGCATTGTAAGAGGGGGACACTTGAACATGGAGGCCTCCACCCGTTTAATGATGGTTTCTCTTCACAAAGATGGCCTCCTTCAATCCTCTATCAAACCATCGTTCCTCTCTGTCCAGGATGTGAACATCTTCATCCTTGAAAGAGTGACCGCTGGCCTGGAGATGAGTGTAGACCGCAGAGTCCTGACCTGATGATGTTGATCTTCTGTGCTGGGCCATCCTTTTGGCCAGTGGCTGTTTAGTTTCCCCAGGTAAGACTGATCACAGCCCTCCTGACACTGAACTAAACCAGCCACTGGCCAAAAGGATGGCCCAGCACAGAAGATCATCATCATC